AAAAAAAAAAAAAAAAGAATTTCATCCAATTTCCTTCTTAGGCTACCTTGAACTATGATCGTCAGATCTCAGCCTCCTGAATAGCTAGGATTACAGGCATTAGCCACCAGCCCATTGCCCATGAGACTCTTATCTCCAATTAACTCCAAAAAAGTTGGATATGGCCAGGCACTGGTGGCTCACACCAATAATCTGAGCTATTTAGTAGGCTGATATCTGAGGATTACAGTTCAAAGCTAGTCCAAGCAGGGAAGTCTGTACGACTCTGAACTACTAACAAGCTGGAAATGAAACTGTGGCTTAAGTGGTAGAATCTAAAAAGCTCAAGGACTGTGCCCTGGTCCTCAGCTCAAGACCTAGGACTAGAAAAAAATGGAAGTGGAGGGGTGGCTCAAGTGGTAGAATTCTAGTCTTGAATGAAAAAGCCAAGTCAGAGTTTAAGGCCTTGAGTTCAAGCCCCTTATATGGCACAATTTTTTTTAAAGCTGGTCAAAGTCTTTTGGTTGGTACCTGGCAACTAGTTGGCATCTAGATTTAGGTTGGACCAACTCAAACTTTACATTTACATGGTTTTAACTATGCATAATGCTAGACATTTTCCATACTATTGCTTGCTTAGTCTCATTAAACACTGTTTCTTGGTTTAGTACCCCTACTTTAATTATAGAAGACTCAGAACTCATTATCCAAGTTATACTGGAAACAAGGACTTAAATACAAAACTTGTTCCAAGGGGTTGGGAAGGTGGCTCAGTGGTAGGGTGCTTGCCTTGCATGCATGAGGCCCTGGGTTCAATTCCTCAGCACCACATATAAATAGAAAAAACGGGAAGTGGCTCTGTGGCTCAAGTGGTAGAGAGCTAGCCTTGAGCTGAAGAGCTGAGGGACAGCGCCCAGGCCCAGAGTTCAAGCCCCATGACAGACAAAAAAAAAAAACAAAAAAAACCTTGCTCCAAAAGACATGCTTTTCTCATTTCCATTTCACTTGAGCTTTGTAGATAGATATTATCATTACAGCTGATATTATATATTATATATATTTTTTTATATTACAACTTTAGAAGGTCTTCCACACCGACACTGACTGGGTCTCATATATTGCTACCACCTTGCCACTGTGTTAACATCCAGCTCCTCAGATCCCTTTTTCACTCATTGGGGTTCAGTTCCAAGTTAGGGACTGGTAACATACAAGGTGATTTAGGAGTGATAATTATTACTAATTTTATAGCATTTGTTTGCCTTATGGCAGGAAACTAAGCTGGGAGGGAGGGAAGGCTTGTTCTACGTAGTCATCTCTTTTCCTCCTTCCAGGTGCCCCCATCCACTGTGGAATACCTCGAGAAACAAGGCATTGATGTACGGGTCCTCCAGACAGAGCGGGCAGTGAAAGAGTATAATGCCTTGGCTGCCAAAGGGGTCAGGGTGGGAGGCGTCTTCCATTCCACCTGCTGATGAAGTCTTAAGAGAATAAACCATGAAGCAATGTTGCTTATGACTGTCACTCTGCACATTCTCCACACCAACTTCACCTTTTTTTTTTGGTCCGTGTCCTGGGGGTTGAACTCAAGGCTTGTGCACTGTCCTTAAGCTTTTATGTTCAAGGCTAGTGCTCTACCACCTGAGCCACAGCTTCACTATTGGATTTTCTGGTGGCTAACTGGAGATGAGAATCTTATGGACTTTCCTGTGCCAGCTGGCTTTGAACCATTATCCTCAGATCTCAGCTGCTTGAGTAGCTAGGATTACAGGTGTAAGCCACCAGTACCTAGCTTCCCCTTTGCATTTTTAAACTTTTATTTATTTTTGGTGCAGGTCCTGAGGCTTGAACTCAGGATCTCCCACTTTCAATTGGCTTTTTCTTTTTAAGTCTGGTGCTTTCCTACCCCTCCACTTCCAGCTTTTTGCTGGTTAACTGGAGATGAGTTTCATAGACTTTTCTGTCCAAGCTAGCTTCAAATTTTGGTCCTCAGATTTCAGCCTCTTGAGTAGTTAGGGTCATAAGCATAAGCCATCTGTGCCCTGCTTCCCTTTGTGCTTTGTGTGTGTATGTGTGGTTTTCTGTTTTGTTTTTTTAAACACCAGCTTGTGTCAAATCCTGTGTCAGGCTAATGAGATACATGAATGGCTAAGGCAAGGCCTTAGTAGTCACTAAAAATCAGTAAACACATATACTCCCTGAAACTTCTATACAGGCTGGCAAAATCAGAAATTTCAGACAAAAGTGAAGGCTATACCTTGAAGGCCAAAGAAAATTCAGTGCACTAAAATCACATGGTAGTTGGCCATCAAGCCAACTAACTTTTTAGAATACTTTTATGCCAGAAAATGTTGTCTTGTTTTTAGGAAGTTTATATTTCTAGTAAGGAAGATAAGGCAACAAATAAAATGTGTGCTATTTATGAAGTCAGTTAGGAAGGAAAATAGAGCAAGTAAGAAGGCAGAAGTGATGGAGGGTATTGAAAATGGCTTATGAAGAGTAAAACAAGGGAGCAGTTGAGCGACAGTGACAGTAGGAGTATATCCTCATTGGGTTCTAGGCATGCTCCTCTACTAACTATCCCTGAAACCTGAGCCACACAGTTCTGACATCCTGTGCTTGTACAATGTTGGGCTGGACTGGATGTCCTTTAAAGGTCCCTGCTGACTCTGGTCTTCCTTCTATTATATACCCAAGTGGCCCATGTAAAGCCTTGGAAAAGATTGAGAGAAGGGCTGAGAAGGTGGCTCAGTGGTAGAGTGTTTGCCTTGCATGCATGAGGCCCTGGGTTTGATTCCTCAGCACCACATAAATAGGAAAAGGTGGAACTGGCATTGTGGCTCAAGTGGTAGAGCTATCACCTTGAGCTGAAGAGCTGAGGGACAGTGCCCAGAGTTCAAGCCCCATGACCAAAAAAAAAGACAGAGAACTTTTAAACTGCCATCTATCACACTTTCATATTTTGCCTCTGAAGAGCATTGAGTATGAGCTTTGATATCCAATAGCCTTGAGTTTGAACTTTAGTTCTGTACTACTTCACTGCTTGGCCATTTATTTAACCTTTCAGACATATTAATATTAGTAACTGGAATCACTGCAGGTATTAATGAGGTAATTCATAGTCTGAGCTCACAGCCTGGCCTATAGTAAGGACTTAATAAATGGAAAGCATTGTTGCTATTATGCTTCCATTAACAGTTACTGTATAAACTGACTAGTTTCATTTTATGGCTCTATTTATAGCATCTCATTATATCACAGATTCATAGAAAGTTAGGGCCCAAAGGAATGATCGCATTAGTTGATTCAGCAAGTCTCTTTCATGCTCATTTACCGAGACTGTATTGCTAATGTTCTTATCTGGTTGTTGCTGGATCTTGGGACTACAGGGTGTTTTAAGTTATAGTACCTGACCTTAGGAATTATGTGGATGAAACAGACAATGACACAGTACTTTAATAATACTTACAAGGTTCAGTGGTGGTATAAATAAAAAGTAATGTATCCTTTCAGGATAGAAAGGTAATTAGGAAAGATACCAAGGATATGACACATAGGCTGAGTCTTCAAAGAATGAAAATGTATACTCATTCACTGAACAAACATTTACTTGGCAACCACTTGAGGTGGACATTTACTTGGTATGATATCACAACTTTAACTAATTGTTCTACCCTTGCTGTTGTGGAAGCAACAGCCTTAGAAGGCTGGTTTTTGCTCTATGTGATCCTACGATCTGGTTGGCCCTGTTGACTGGGCCATAGACCAGACAGCAACTTAAGATGTGGCTTGGCAAGAAGGGAGGAACTAAGACAACCAGAATGGAAAGTGAAGGTATTTTTCCACCTTTACCCAGCAAGTAGCAAAGCCAAACTTAGTACTCACACTGTGTTTTGATCTCTTTCTAGCAATAGACCTATTGGCTCCAAACCCCAGGAATGAGTTTCTACACTGAGAATCTGGGGAAGTCTTGCTTAGTGCCCTTCATACAACTCTTTCTGCATTAGTGAGATGACAAGCTCTTTCTAGATCTGTTCCCTCTAGCTTTTTTTTTTGGGGGGGGGGTCCAGTCGTGAACTCTGGGCCTGGGCGCTGTCCCCCAGCTCTTCAGCTCAAGGTGATAGCTCTACCACTTGAGCCACAGCGCCACTTCCAGCTTTTTTCTTTTTGCTTATGTGGTGCTGAGGAATCAAACCCAGGGCCTTATGCATGCAAGGCAAGCACTCTACCACTGAGCAAACTTCCTAGCCCCTCCCTCAAGCTCTTAATGCCTATGTCCCTAGGACTATTTCTATATTACCTACATTGATATTTTATTTATTTAAGACATAAGGTAAGACAGCCCCAGTGGATGGTAACTCAGTGTCGAGCCCTACATGAATGATAAATTAATCAGAGTAAAGAATGCATAACCAAGCTCCAGCATTCAGAAGCTGAGGGAGGAAGATCACAAATTCAAGGTCAGCCTGAGCTACGTAAAAAGATCTGACTCAGAAAAGAGAGGGAGGGAGGCAGAGAGGAGGACAAGAAAAAACATATGCACAAACTTCCTAGAATGAGAAATATCTGTCAGTGAGGTTACTTTGTATAAATGCTACTTCCTAATCGGGTTCACATGGTCAATGCCAGAAAGATGCAGAACCTGGAAAGAAGCTATTTTTTCCACACCAGACTATACTTAGTTCCATATATTATTAAATTGTTTGATTCAGCACAACCTTCAATCTGCCCACACACTTAATTTCTTCTAGCCTGAATGGTTCCTAAGACAAGTCATCCCAGTGATATACATGTACCTTTCTTCAGTCATGTGAAAGCCAAATATAAAGTCCCTTCAGAAACTGGGAAGGTTTGCTTTTGCAGGCATGTCATGACTAAGTTTGCTCTGAATTCATGCATTTATTCGTTCTTTTCTTGATAGGGATGTGCCAGGACTGTGCCAGGGACATACTATATAAACATTCTTAAAGCCAGGCGCTGGTGGCTCACGTCTGTAATTCTAGCTACTCAGGAGGCTGAGATCTGAAGATTGTGGTTCAAAGCCAGCCCACGCAGGAAAGTCCGTGAGCTCTTATGTCCAATAAACCACTAGAAAACCGGAAGTGTTGCTGTGGCTCAAGCTGTATAGCACTTGCCTTGAACTGAAGATCGCAGGGACAGGGCCCCAGCCCAGAGTTCAATCCCCACAACTGACCAAAAATAAATAAATAATAAAAAATAAGCATTCTTAGTGCCCAGGTACTCTGATTAATAGGCATCAGTGATGGTAATGTAAACACCAGTGATGGTGAGGGTGTAAATTTAGCTGGAGACATGTTTTGTTTCAATAATTTTACCATTTGGTTACTAAGTTTTTTGTTTTTGTTTTTCCAGTCCTGGGGCTTGAACTCGGTCTGGACGCTGTCCCTGAGCTTCTGTTTGCTAGAGGCTAGCACTCTACCATTTGAGCTACAGCTCCACTTCCAGCTTTTTCTGTTTATATAGTACTGAGGAATCAAAACCAGGGCTTTGTGCATGCTATGCAAGCACTCTACTACTAAGTCGCATTCCCAGATCTGGTTACTAATATGAGATACTGTACAGAGGGGTTACAGTTCCATGAACAAGGTAGAGTCCATTTCCTAGCAAGCATTGTTACCACATTGTTACCGCTTTGTTTTTCCCCTACCATCTCTTTCCTCCCCACCTCCCCACCTCCTCCCCCCCGCCCTCTGCAAGTTGTAAAGTTCCTTTTCAACATTGTATCTTGTACATCTTGTTGTTACAATGGGTCATCCTGTATCCTTACTTCAGCTGTTTGTTATTTTGCTTCCCCTTCCCAAATTAGAAAAATGTATATACAAGATGCAGGACACAGGTATCAAATACAAGTACATTATAAGTACATTAAAAAGAACAGCAAGAAAGATAAAATCTCTGGGTTCATTTCGCTTAGCATCAGCTTATATGGTCATATGTACATAGATATTGACCTCTTCTGCTTGTCCCAGACATATACTAGTTATTGCAGATAAGGGAAACCATGGGACCTATGTTTCTTTGGGTCTGGCTTATTTCACTTAAAATAACTTTTTCCCAAGTCTTTTCATTTCCTAACAAATGAGGACAATGTCATTCTTTCTGATGGAGGCATAGAATTTCAGTGTATATTTATATACATTTTCTTGATCCATTCATCTATTGAGGGGCATCTGGGTTGGTTCCATATCTTAGCTATGGTGAATAATGCGATAAACATAGTTGTGTTGGTAGCTTTAATATGGTCTTGTTTGTAATCATTTGGGTAAATGTCTAAAAGTAGGACTGCTGGGTCACAGGGGAGTTCTATGTGGAGTCTTTTGAGGAACCTCCATACTGTTTTCCAAAGTGGTTGAACAAGTTTACACTCCCACCAGCAATACAGTAGGGTTCCCGTTTGGCCTCCAGCATGTTACTAGATTTCTTTTTTTAATTTTTTTTGTCAGTTGTGGGGCTTGAACTCTGGGCTTGAGAGAGCCGTCCCTGCTCTCTTTAGCTCAAGGCAAGCGCTCTACTGCTTAAACCACAGCGCCACTTCCAGTTTTCTAGTGGTTTATTGGAGATAAGAGCTCACGGACTTTCCTGCCCGGGCTGGCTTTGAACCCTGATCCTCAGATCTCAGCCTCCTGAGTAGCTAGGACTAGAGTTCTTGATTATAGCCATTCTAACTGGGGTGAGGTGGAATCTCAATGTTATTTTGATTTGCATTTCTTTTATGGTTAGAGAAGTTGAGCATTTCTTCATGTGTCTATTGGGCATTCTTATTTCCTCTTCAGAGAAGTCTCTCTTTAAATCTTTAGTCCACTTATTATTCAGGCAGTTGGTTCCTTAATTTTTGAATATTTTATATAAAAATGCAAATAAAAGCTTGGTGCTAGTGGTTCACACCTGTAATCCTAGCTACTCAGGAGGCTGAGATCTGAGGATTGCAGTTCACAGCCAGCCTAAGCTAGGACAGTCCGTGAAACTCTTATCTCCAATAAACCACCAGAAAGCCGTTAAGTGGCACTGTGGCTCAAGTAGTAGAGAGCTAGTCTTGAGCAAAAGAGCTCAGGGACAGCGCTCAGGCCCTGAATTAAAGTCCCACAACTGACTAAAAAGAAGAAGAAAATGCAAATATTTTGCTTTTCCAGTTGACCTAGCTTTGACATCACCAGGTCCTCATTTACAGACTGAAGTAATTAAGCAGAATGTAACGGTAACAGTCTTTTGACAGAGAAGTTGCTCTCCAATTCTTCAATGTCTATTATCTTCCTCTCGGCCACACTTTTACTTAGCCTGCCTGCCTTCTTTAGGAGTTTGTAATCATGAATGTGCAGAACAATGATAGAATACTATGCATGGAGAAAGTACAGGAGGCCATGGGAACACAGGGCCTGTTCCATGCCCCTAGAAAACATGGGTGGGTTCTAGAATGAGGCAAGAACTAGACAAAAGGATCCACTAGAGAGACCAAAGAGCACATTCCAAATCTCTTCAATTCCAAAGGCTTAGAAAGGAGAGAGGGAATGATACAGAGCAAGTGGGATGCAGCATGAGGCTGGGCACAAAGAAGAGGTGGGCAGCCATCCAGAACAGGATGGTCTTTACCCTAGGTCAGTAGTGACACACTTGAGGGTCAGATGCAGGAGAATGGTGTGATCAGACCTGAGCTTTGGAAAAGTTGATCTTGACAGCTATGTGAAACATAGACTGGAAAGAGCAAAATTGAAGCGAGAGGAGACAAATGTCACACTTGAGAGGCAATGGTGGCTGCCTAAGAAAACAGTAAGTACAATGAGCAGACAACTGAGCCAAGAAACATTACAGAAGCAGAATCTAAAGGAGACAGGATGAGTGAGACGTGGCAGCTTACATCTGTAATCCTAGCTATTCAGGAGGCTGAAATTTGAGGATCACAGTTCAAAGCCAGCCAAGACAGGAAAGCCCATGATACTTTATCTCCAATTAACCAGTAAAAGGCCAGAGCTGTAGTTCAAGAGTCAAGACTTGAGTAAAAAAGCTAAGAGACATCACCCCAGGCCCTGAGTTTAAGCTCCAGGACAGACATTGGAAAAAAAGACAAAATGGCTGTTTGTGTGAAGAATGCAGAGAAACTCCAGTGCTCTCATGGCTAGTGTGTGCTAGACCACTTACTAGAACAGACCCTGGTTATGAAAACTGTACTACATTAGAAAGCAGGAGGCCTGGTTTATCACTAACTCCATCTCTGGGGTTAGTGTCTCACTGGAGGATTCCTCATGTTCCTTTCAATAACACAAAGTGTGGAAACAAATGTAGAAAAAAGTAAAACTTACCATATTTTACAGAACTTTGAGAACAAGGAATTTAAAAGACAGCTTACCCCTCAGATGAGAAGTGAATTCCTCACCACAGACTTGTCAGGATTTGCTCCTCCACCTCTGTTCAGATGCATCCAGCAAGGCAAATTCCATAGCTCTTAGTGCAGTCCACTAGATTTGTAACTTTGAAAATTTTATTCTGATACCAAGTCAAAACCTGCCCCATAATGTATAGCCACCTCTTGTAGAAAAAAAAAAAAGTTTACTACATTTTGGGTTTTACCAAACAATGAAGTCTTGGCTTTGTCCCTGCAGAAAGACTAAATTGGGGATACCGGTGCTGGTGGCTCACATCTGTAATCCTAGCTACTCAGGAAGCTGAGATCTGAGAATTGCATTTCAAAGCCATTCAGGGCAGGAAAGTCTGTGAGACTCTTATCTCCAATAAACCACCAGAAAATCAGAAGTGGTGCTTGTGGCTCAAATGGTAGAGCACTAGCCTTGAGCTGAAGAGCTGAGGGACAGCACCCAAACCCAGAGTTCAAGTCCCATGACAGACCAAAAAAAAAAAATCTTTTCCAGCTTATCCCCAGTTTTACTATCTCCAATTTTTTTTTATGTTTTTAATTTTTTTTTTATCAGTCTTGGGGCTTGAACTCTGGGCTTGGGCGCTGTCCCTCAGCTCTTCAGCTCAAGGCTAGCACTCTACCACTTGAGCCACAGCACCACTTCTGGTTTCCTGGTGGTTAACTGGAGATAAGAGTCTCACTGGCTTTCCTGCCTGGGCTGGCTTTGAATGGCAATCCTCAGATCTTAGCATCCTGAGTAGCTAGGATTACAGGCATGAGCCACCAGCGCCCGGCTGGAAGGATTTTTATAAAAAGGGTACTGAATCTGAACCGTGCACAGGTTATTCTTCCCTTAAGGGTTTCCACAGTTACAGCATCATGGGTTCAGTCAGTAGGCAAGAGTCTGCATTAATGCTCCAGGCTGTCAGCAATGGCCGTTAGGTCAGAGCTGGGTTGTGATTCAGCCTGCTTCCAGCTTCCTTTATCTCTAAGGCTGGCTGGCACCTTTTTAGCATCTTGTTGCCCTGACACATGAGAACACATTAATGACCCATCCTTGAGATGCATTAAACTGAGCACACTAGAAAGCTCTGTTCTTTAGAGATGATTTTTCTCCTTGTCCTCTACAGCAGTTATAACCTCTTGGAGACAAGACTGCCTGTCTGGGTTCAGGTATCATTTCTCTAGACTTTGTTATATTTTTCAAATGAAGACAATGATGTGCAGTTCATACAGTGGTTGTGAGGACTAAGTTAACTAATGTTATGAGCTTACACTGTCGGCACACAGTAAGCACATAGAATCAGAAGTTACAACCTGCTAGTATTTTTAAAAGCTCTCTAAATACCAAATATGATCAAGAATGGCTGCAAATTCAGATTCTAACAAGCACTGTTTAATCCTTCCCATTCAATAATACTTAACATATAACCTCTATTTTATAGATGGGGAAACTGAGGCACAGAGAGCTGGTGCCGGCTATTATCTTTATCTGCTGTTACAACAATACCTGAAAAGAGGCAGTTTATAATGAACAGAAATTTATTTGGCTTGCAATTCCAGAGGCTCAGTAGTTCAAGATCATGGCTCTGCTGGCATTTGACAAGGATCTTCATGCTTTATCATTCTATGGCAGAAGGCAGAAGGGCAAGAAAGGGCAAGAGCAAGTACCAGAAAGAGCCAAAATTGCTTTTACACCAAATCTGTTGTGACAAGTAGCCCACTCTCCTGATAATTACTTTAATCCATTCCTGAGGCAGGCCCTCAGAATCTCTCCAGCTCTTCTAAAGTCTTATTTCCTAACATTGTTGCACTGGGAATGAAATTTGACACATGAACTTTGGGAGGTACTCAAATCATTGTAGGCATATACTTCCTCTGTGGTGGCTTTTGCTTCAATTTGAATGAATACAGGCCTCATGACTTACTATATAGTTTTCCCAGAGGTGATTTAATCTCAGCCTCATTCGCCTTCTGTAAAGATTAAATGACAGGAGAGCACACGGTACAGCCGGCCACACGGTTCACCTCTGCAGCACTGTCATGGCTCCATCACACCTGCCCTTAACTCACGCACAGCTCCACACATCAGATATGTAGCCACAAATGACTTATTCTCACTGGCTCCCTCCTTCCCATGACAGTGGGAAAATAGGATCCTTCTATATTACTTTAGTAAAGGGAGGAGGTTCTAACGATAATGGCAAACAAGATCAAGAATGTCCCTCAGGATAGAAGTGATTCATTCTCAGGCTCTTCACTCAGTCCTTAACCCACCTGGGTTAGAGAAGAGACCTCTCAGCAAGGTAACGGCTGGCCAAGTTCCTGCAGGAGCTTTCAGTGCTGAAAAAGTTCAGCTATTAAGTCAGTTTTAAAGCTGCCCTTGCCAAACAGATGCTTGTCCTAAGAAACAAGATTGTGGCTCAAATAACCAGTTTTTTGGAAGTGGCTAGAAATTTTGATCTTTGTGTTTCACACCTTAGAACATACCTGTAAGCAAGCCTGTGCTATAAATGCTGAAACTTTAGCCACACACAATTTTTAAGGATCAGAATAATAAAACCATTAAGAATAATAAGAACAACTTGGTGTTTTTTCCAGCTTTATTTCATGGGGAGGAGGTGTTGTAAAATTTAAAGTTTTGGTTTTCTAATAAAAAAATAATGTCCTGTGTGTGCTACCACATGTTACTTAGGGCTACACACCATTTCCAGGTGAAGTGCTCCAGGCTTCTGGCCCACTGTACCTAAGAAGGGCTTCTAGGCCAAGGTGGTAAAGACTGCTTGTGAGTCAGCGCCTCGCAGGCTTCGGCATTATGTAAACCTTCACAGGCTTGCTGAAGGGGATGGTGCCTTCGATGCTGGTTTCCACCTGTGGTGACCCCTCACCACCCTCGATCCAGGGGGATTTTGGAATGCGAGCATTGGAGTTGTAGGCCAGCAGCAGTCTCACTTCTACCTGGCATGGTTCTGAAACAAAAGACAAAAAAGACCCATACCAAAACTGGGCAGCTGTTAGGAATTTACATAAAACAGCAAGTGAAAGCAGTATTAAACATGGAAGCTACAGCCAGGCGCTGGTGGCTCATGCCTGTAATCCTAGCGACTCGGGAGGCTGAGATCAGAGGATAGCGGTTCAAAGCCAACAGACAGAAAAGTCCATGAGACTCTTAATCTCCAAGTAACACCAGAAAACTGTAAGAGGCGCTGTGGCTCAAGTGGTAGAGTGCTAACCTTGAGCTGAAGAGCTGAGGGACAGCACCCAGGTCCAGAGTTCAAGCCCCATGACAAAAAAAAAAAAAAAGTTATAGCAAGGCACTGGTGGCTCATATCTATAATCTTAACTACTCAAGAGTCTGAGATCTGAGGATTGATTAAGTACATGGCTTCCCCAGTGAAGGAGAAAAGAATTTCAGCCAAACCTATAAGCAAGTACAAAGGCCAAAATAGAATGAGCTTGGGATATCCTCACTATTTTAGTACAACTGAGGCAAAAAGTTCAAGAGTTAAAGATAAGTCTCAGGCTAAGAAGTTCAGACAGCAGGAGCTAGCTGGAGGGCTCTAAATGAATGAGTACAGGCTCCAGGACTCTTCCACAGACCAGTTTTATTCCTGGTCATTTCCAGACATCTTCCTAGAAAACAGTATAAGAATGAAAGGCTAGCCAGGCGCTGGTGACTCATGCCTGTAATACTAGCTACTCAGGAGGCTGAGATCTGAGGACTGTGATTCAAAGCCAGCCCAGGCAGGAGACTCTTATCTCCAATAAACCACTCAGAAAACCAGGAGTGACGCTGTGGCTCTAGTGGTAGAGTGCTAGCCTTCAGCTGAAGAGCTGAGGGACAGCGCCCAGGCCCAGAGTTCAAGCCCCATGACCGACCAAAAGAAAGGAAGGCTAGGGCTGGGAATGTGGCTTAGTGGTAGAGTGCTTGCCTAGCATGCATGAAGCCCTGGGTTTGATTCCTCAGTACCACATGAACAGAAAAAAACAGAAGGAGTGCTGAGGCTTAACTAGTAGAGTGCTAGCCTTGAACAAAAGAAGCCCAGGGACAGTGCCTAGGCCCTGAATTCAAGCCCTAGGACTGGCAAAAAAAAAAGAATGAAAGGCTAAGTCAGCTTTACCAATTCCAGCAATTTTAGGTATCAGCAGGAGCCTGAGCAGACTCACCTTCCCATTTAGCAGCCATGTGGCATGCACACCCCATATCACCTGGCCTGAAAGCAGCATGAGTGTAGCTGTTGTCAAACTAGCACTGCTCTGACATCAGATTCAGAAGAACCTCCTACAAGGAGGACTCAGGGCAGGTACCAGCATCAGCTATCCCACCACACCCTCTTAGCCCATCCCACACAGCCACAGGTATGGAACTCACAGCACTTTCAGGAGGGCCAAATCTTGGAGGGAGATGATGGAGTAATCAGATCTACAGGGTCATTTTACCTTCTCTATTCAGCCTTTGGGAAGAAGGCCAATACCATAGAACAGAGAGCACGTAACAAAGACTAATCAACTGGAACAAATCATACAACCTTATTTATCAACCTTCTGGTTTATATTGTTTTCCCCACCTTAAAGATTAAGAAAACATTGCTAAACACCAGTGGCGCACATCTGTTATCCTAGCTAGGCAAGAGGCTGAGATCTGGAAGACCTCAGTTCAAGGCAGCCTTGGCAGAAAAGTTTGGTAGAATCCATCGCCAAAATAACCAGCAAAAAAAATAGGACACGTGGCTCAAGTGGTTGAGTGACAGCTAAGCTGCAAGATGAGTGAGTGTAAGGCCCTGAGTTTTAGTGAGTGAAAGGCCCTGTGTTTTCAAGTACTAGAGAAAAATATATTAGGACAATGAGAAAGGTAAGATAATTTCCTCAGACTCATACAAAGGAAAGGAGAATGTGAAACCTGGCCTGTGTGACCCAGCTCTCTATATGCACCATCTAGCCTCTCAGAGGAACAAGAACAACCTTATCAGGAAGCTGCTGACAGACTACATAAACTCCAGGCTCCACTTCTGGGTTAGGAGAAAGAGGTGAAAGTGCATTTCGAATGAGAAGACTTTTTACTTTCTTATTCCAGGCCAAAAAGGAGTAAGTTGAGTGAAAAAAGGGATCTAAGAACCTGGCAATCTGAGGGCTAGCTTAGTACCTTACCGGTCAGCTTATTTCTAAACTGTGAAATATAAGCTGCCACTACACGGTCTAAAGATTAAATGAATTTTGATTACATAATCTTGTATTCCAATTTTTTTAGTGTGTGGCAGTACTGGGGTTTGAACTCAAGGCCTTGAGCTCTCAACTTAGCTTTTTCACTCAAGGCTTTCTTTCTTTCTTTTTGTTTTTTTTTTTGTTGGTCATGGGGCTTGAACTCTGGGCTTGGGCACCATCCCTGAGCTCTTCAGCTCAAGGCTAGCACTCTACCACTTGAGCTCTACCACTTCCAGTTTTCTAGTGGTTTATTAAAGAGTCTCACGGTCTTGCCTGCCCAGGCTGGCTTTGAACCATGATCCTCAGATCTCAGCCTCCTGAGTAGCTAGGATTCAGGCATGAGCCACCAACACCCTGCTTCAAGGCTCTGATTTCTACCACTTGAGTCACACCTTCATTTCCAGTGTTTTACACATTAAGTGGAGATAGGATTAATTGGGATTAAAGTTAATTGAGATAAGAATCTCATAGACTTTTTTGCTCAGTCTTTGAACTGTGATCAGAACTCAGACTCCTGAGAGGTTAAGATTACAGGCATGAACTTTACTGGTGCCTAGTTTCTACTATATGTTAAGCAATAGAAACATAGGCTAGGGATGGAGGGAGTGTAGTTGTGGATGTGGGAGGGAAGGGATGGTAGGGGAAAAAGGAGGAGGCAATAATGCTTGATAGGAAATGTAATCATTACCTTGCTCATGTAACTAACTCCTCTACAGTATTTTTACAATTAAAAAGTATATATATAAAAAAAGAAACATAGGCTACAGAAGTAAAGACAGCATAGGGGGGCGGGGCGGGGAGGAGGATGGGAAGGGATGGGAAGGGGAAACAAAGGAGGAGGCTACAATGCTTGATAAGAAATGTAGTCATTATCTTGCCCATGTAATTGTAACCCCTCTGTACAGTATTTTCACAATAAAAATAAAAAAAAGAAAGACAGCATAATCTCTGCTCCAATGAAGCCTAAATTCTAATGAGAGAGAAGGTCAAGGAAACAATCAAATAAAACATCTAACATGAACAAATGTGATGCAGAGAATTAAAATGTTGGAATGTTGGAAGGGTGGCACTGATCAAGATGCACTGCACACATAGAAGGACATGTTCAAAACCCCTGGAGTAACTATTTGAGGATAAAAAAAAATTTTTTTTGAGGATAAAAATTTTTAAATGAGAATAACAGTAACTGAAAAGCAAATTCTTGAAGACTATCTCCAATGAGAATAGCCTGGCAATATGTGGCCCTCCTCCCCGCATAAAGAAAGACTTGTAGTGAACTAAAATGCCTTAAGAAGAAACAGGGCCTACTAGAGAAAAATCTTGTGCTCAGAGGCAGACAGCTGAGATTTAGCTCTAGTTTGGGGAATGACTGACTGTGTAAACAAGAGGGTGTCAATATCCTTTTCAAGATCTTTAAGCTCATATAAGGCTTAACATGCTTTGATTTCTTCCCTGAGCCAGCTCCTCCCCAAACAATATTGCCCCACAGCAAGACTTTATAACTAGGGTTCCTGAAGCAAAGATTTTAGAGGTTAGGGTATACCTGAGTGGCAGACCTCTTGCCTAGCATGTGAGAAGCCCTGATTTAATCATGAGTTCATTCTCAAACACACACACTTGGGAGTAATAATTTACTCTCATGGTATTAATGCCAAGGAGTGCAAAAACATACTAAGAATCAAAGTCATGAAATGAGATGCTCAGGGAAGCAAATTCTGGGTAAAAGAACTGCACTTCCTCCTCCTGAAAGCACCATAGATTCATCAGGTCCCATCTAATACTCATAAGATAGCGGACATTTTTGATGGCATTAAATAGGTTTTGCTTTTTTGGTACTGGTCCTGGAGTTTGAACTCAAGGCATGGGCACTGTCTCTGACATTTTTTGCTCAAGACTACTGCTCTACCACTTGGGCCACAGTTCTACTTCTGGCTCTCCTGGTGGTTAATTTTAAGGGTCTCATGGACTTTTCTGCACAGGCTGGCTTTGAACCATGATCCTTAGATCTCAGCCTCCAGAGTAGCTAGGATTACAGAAGTGAGCCATTGGTGCTTCCCTTGAACAGTTCTTTATGTATTTTAAAACACACAAAGAATTCCTGAAAGGGAATTTGACCTCACAATTTTATTGTCTTCATAATGAAAGTTGGAATTTAGGCATCATGATATTATAGTCTTTATAACAAAAGTTGGAGCTTAGAACTAGATCACTGCCACTTTCTCTTTTTATCTCCACCCAATTCAAAATGTTTGCATCTCTTAATAGCTAGCATTCTCTTAGATCTGCAGTTGGGCTCAACACATTCAAGTCTCAGCACAATCTTCTTTGTAGTCTTAGGTTTTTTTCCAGAAAATTGGCTTAGTCTGACTGCCATAGACACTCTGCTTTCTGTCATAACCATGCTTTCCCCGGACATACAGAGAATCCTTGCCTTTTTTGTACCGAGTTACTTTGTGAGGTTGGTGCTTACCACACTTCTTACAGAAAGTTTGGCGGGTTTTAAGAACATTGACCATGATGGCAGGAAGCCTGCAGCCGTGCCAAAAAGAAGTGCATTCCCTATTTTTAAAACCAAAGTTCGTGGCACTGTACACTTTTTCTAGTAGAGTTCATGCTCTTAAACCAGCACCAGTGACTTAGGAAACACCACTGCCTGTAGGTTCTAAAGCCTGAGTCTCTAATTTTTCCAAAGACACTTTATAGGCTTAAAATATGTCTTTTGTACTTATATTCTCTCAATTTTTCTTACAGATTAAAAAAAAAAAACATAACCTTACTCTCCTTTCACAAACTGTTCTGTTGCTTTGTGAACATCTCCTTGTAAGATCCGTTCCTGGATGGTGAGCAGACTCCACCCTCCTCGCAGCAAAGTCTCCACCCAGTACCTGCGTTACCAAGGCAACTGGCACACCTGGAAGAGGTCACATCTGAATTTGATGTGGCCACACCTTTCTCCGCCCATACCCTAGATAAGGCCTAGCCCAGGCCCAGAAGCTCTCTAGGCTCTTTTCTAGCTCTTTCTTAGCTCTTTCCTACTCTTCCCTTCTCTTCTCTTTCCCAGCTCTCCTCTCTTTCCCAGCTCTCTCTCTTTCCCAGCTCTCTCAGCTCTCTTTCCCAGGCCTTCCCCACCACGTGGAGGACCAAGATGGCCTAGTGCCAGCAGGAACGATGAATAAACCTATCCCTTACCTGAAAACCACCTTGTGGTGTTGGTCTTACTCGTCTACCTCTTTTTAAAAACTTAACACTACTTAACATTTTACTTGTTTCATGAGTATAAACTTAACTATGCATGTACGAAGAGACAGTGATTTTAATTTTTTGTCAGAAATATGAAACTATAATTTCCAGAGGAATCTTCATTACAAATTTATAGTTTGAGAATTTTCTTCTTCATCCTCAAGATGGAGAAATAGACTCAGAAAGTTACTTGCTCAAGGGTACCCGACAAATCAGTGGCAGTTGGAAAAGGACCGTCAGTGGCCTCCTGACATTGGTCTCATTACAACTTCCTGTATGTCTTCTAATGGAATCTTGTTCCTCATCCAGCCAGCATAGCACAGTTATCCTCATGTGCCCAGTTTTAGCTTATGAACCCCTTAAAGACTCAAGTTTAATTTTCAGCATTCATGATTCAATTATGTTTTGTTTTGTTTTTTATTTATTTATTTTTTTAACCGGTTGTGGGGTCTGAACTCTGGGCCTGGGCACTGTCAGCTCTTCAGCTCAAGGCTAGCGCTCTACCACTTGAGCCACAGCACCACTTCTGGCTTTTTTCTTTTTGCTTATGTGGTGCTGGGGAATCGAACCCAGGGCCTCATCCATGCAAGACAAGCACTCTACCACTGAGCCACCTTCCCAGCCCTCAATTATGTTTTGTTTTTATTCAACTGCAAAAAAAAAAAAAAAAAAGCTAAAAGTTATTGTGATCTCTAGGAAAATACTGTCCTGCCCACTCTGTTCTACCTGCTCTTTACCTGTCCAGGCAGTATGGGAAAGGTACACCTGAGTGATGAGTCGGTACCGGCCGGGGCCAGGATTCCGGAAGTCTGCTGGCTTGGGGTGGATCATCTGAGCCTGGCCATCAGGATACAAAACCTAAGAAGTAACAGAAATGAATAAATAAATAAAAGCAGAAGATAGATGAGCTAAGAAAATTGATGGTGGTGTCTAACGTGAACCTCCAAATCAGAGACTAAAGATGGTATTTCATAAAAGACTACTTCTGGAGGGGACAGCAACAGTACAGACACTCCAACACTCACCTCCCCAGCCCAGCACAAACAGTGTCCAGTGAACGTTTTTTTCAACTGATGGTAAATGAGTGATAAAAACAGAATGTCTGGGGCTGGGAGGGTGGCTCAGTGGTAGAGCACTTGCCTTGCATGCTCGAGGCCCTGGGTTCGATTCCTCAGCACCACATAAGCAAAAAGAAAAAAGCTAGAAGTGGCACTGTGGCTCAAGTGGTAGAGTGCTAGCCTCGAGCTGAATAGCTGAGGGACAGCACCCAGGCCCAGAGTTCAGGCCCCAGACCAAAAAAAAAACAATGTCTGGGCTGGGAAGGTGGCTCAGTTGTAGAGTGCTTGCCTTGCATGCATGAGGCCCTGGGTTCGATTCCTCAGTACCACATAAGCAGAAAAAGCCGGAAGTGGTGCTGTGGCTCAAGTGGTAGAGCTATCACCTTGAGCTGAAGAGCTGAGGGACAGTGCCCATGCCCAGAGTTCAGGCTCCATGACCACCACCACCACCAACAACAAAGTCTCATGTACTTCTCTGCTTGGTGTGGTTTTGAACTCTGTTCTTCAGATCTCAATATCCTGATTAGCTAGGGTTTACAGGCATGAGCCACCTGCCTGTTTTATTTTTATTGTTGCTGTTGTTGTTTTGCCAGTCCTGGGGCTTTAACTCAGGGCCCAGGTACTGTGCTCAAGGTTAGAGCTCTACCACTTGAGCCACAGTGCCACTTTCAGCTTTTTCTGTTTATGTGGTACTGAGGAATCAAACCCAAGGCTTCATGCATAGTCACATTCCCAGTCTCTTTTTTTTTTGGGGGGGGGGTAGGGGGAGATGGGGTCTTGCTGTCTTAGACAGGCTAAAGTTCAGTGACTATTCACAGACTTAGTCCCACTTGTGATGTGTACTATAGACAGCCCCAGTCTCAGATCAAGCAATCCTCCCACTTCACAAGCAGCGAGCACATGCATCATACCTGGCTACCCTCTTCCTTTATGCTGTTAGATAAAAAGTGCCTGTCACACAGTATAAAATGTTTGCATATGAAATGTCCCCCCCGCAAAGCTCGTATGTTGCTAGGAGATAGAAAGATGACCCATGTTCATGAATCAGAATATTGTGAAAATAGCTAGATTACTAAAATTGAGTTACAAAGTCAATGCAACCTCTGGCAAAATTCCAATGACATTCTTCAAAAAATAGAAAAAAAAATCCTATAATTCATTTGGAAACACAAAGACCAATTCTGAGCAAAAAAGAATAATGTTAGAAGTATCACAATCCAACTTAAAATTATACTATAGAAAGGCTGGGTACAGTGGCTTAATACTTATATTCCCAGATCCTTGAGAAGTGGAAGTAGAAAGATTTAAGTTTAAGGACAGTTCAGGAAAAAAACTTCATAAAGAAAAAAAGACTTCAGGGCTGGGAAGGTGGCTCAGTGGTAGAGCGCTTGCCTTGCATGCCTGAGGCCCTGGGTTCGATTCCTCAGCACCACATAAGCAAAAAGAAAAAAGCCGGAAGTGGTGCTGTGGCTCAAGTGGTAGAGCGCTAGCCTTGAGCTGAAGAGCTGAGGGACAGCGCCCAGGCCCAGAGTTCAGGCCCCACGACTGGACCCAAAAAAAAAAAAAAAAGACTTCATCTCAAGAAATAAGCTAGCCATGGTATCACAAGCCTTGATCTGAGGTATGTGAAAGAATACAGGTAAAAGAATTCCAATCTGAGGTTGGTGCCAGGCATAAGGTGAAACCCTACCTTAAAAATAACTAAGGTGCTAGGTGCTGGTGGCTCACACCTGTAATCCTAGCTTCTCAGGAGACTAAAATCTGAGGATTATGATTAGAAGCCAGCCCAGATAGCAAAGTCTATGAGACTTTTTTTTTTATTGTGAAAATACTGTACAGAAGGGTTATTACATGGGAAAGGTAATGAGTACATTTCTTATCAAGCATTGTTGCCTCCTCCTTTGTTTCACCTTCCCATCCCTTGCCATTTCCCACCCCTCCCATCTCCCCCCTTCCTCCCCGCCAAAGCTGTAAAGTTCGTTCTTCTACATAATGACTTGTACATCTCATTGTTGCAATGCGTCCACCTGTACCCCTATTTAAACAAATTGTTTTTTCCCTTCCCCTCCACAAATTATACCAACATCAAATACAATGAAAGAAGGGGTTATACCATGGGGGAGGGACATACAAAGCAACAAAAAAATCATCTTATAAATATGTTAGAAACAATCGCAAGAAAGCAAAAACATTTGAATACTAATCTTGGGGTTCATTTCACCTAAAATCAACTTATCTGACCTTTTCTGTTTGTCTCAGACATATACTAGTTATTGCAAATAAGGGAAACCATGGGACCTATGTTTCTTTGGGCCTGGTTTACTTCACTTCATATAATTTTTTCCAAGTCTTTCCATTTCCTAACAAATGGGGCAATGTCATTCTTTTTGATGGAGGCATAGAATTCCATTGTGTATATATACTACATTTTCTTGATCCATTCATCTACTGAGGAGCATCTGGGTTGGTTCCATATCTTAGCTATGGTTAATAATGCTGCAATGAACATGGTTGTGCTGGTAGCTTTAGTATGGTCTTGTTTTTGATCATTTGGATAAATGCCCAAAAGTGGGATTGCTGGGTCATAGGGGAGCTCTATGTGGAGTCATTTTTGTTGTTGTTTTGACCCAAAATGTTAAGATTTTATTTACAAAGCTTTTTTTGTTTTACATACTACTTTCCAAAGTGATTGAACAAGTTTACATTCCCACCAACAATACAGTAAGGTTCCCTTCTGTGAGACTTATCTCCAATTAATTACCAAAATGTTGGAAGTGGTCCTTTGGCTCAAGAGGTAGAATGCCAGTTTTGAATAAAAAAAGCTAAGGGACAGTGCCCAGAACGTGAGTCCAAGTCTTAGAACTGGCACACACGCGCGCGCGCGCGCGCACATATACACACACACACCAAAAAAAAAAAAACCACTGAGGACATGGATCAAGTAGTAAAGCACCTGTCTAGCAAGTACAAAGCATTGAGTTCAAAGCTCTATTCTACCAAAAAATTTTTACTACAGAGCAAGCCCATTAAGACAAAGCTATGCAATTCCCAACAAAGATACCCAAAACAAATATTGGAAAGAAAAACAGCCTCTTCAACTAATGGTGCTGGGAAAACTAGATATCCACATGTAGAGATTGAAGTTTGATCCCTATTTCTCATGCTGTGCAAAAGCAATTACAAAATAGATCAAAGTAGTTAATGTAAGACCTGAAGCTTTAGGCAATGCCTTCCTGAATGGGATTCAGAAGCTCAGGAAATGATAGCAAGAACTAACATGACAAACGGGATTGCATCAACTTTAAAGACTTCAACATAGCAAAGAAAACAATTACCTGAGTGAAGAAATAGCCCACAGAAGGAGAAATCTTTGCCAACTATTTAATAGATAAAAGATTAATATAAGGTGTATATTAAATATTTAGGTTTTATTAGGTAGCCGATGAAGAGACCACCATGTGCTATTCAAACAGGAAAAGAAGTTTATTTACAGAACTGCTGCCCCCAGTGTGCATGGTGGAGAGGCATGGCTGAAAAGGAAGAGGCAACCCACCCCTGGGCCAGGACTTATCTAAGCCAGGGACAGGAAGAGGTGTGGCCAGGTGGGGGCGGGGAGGGGAAGGTATGGCCACACTGGATCTGGTTGTGACCTCAAGGTCAGATGGGAGGCATGTGACCAGAGGTAGCCCAGGATTTGACCTAGCTGGAGGGGAAGGTGACTGCTTCCAGGTATGCCAGTTACTTAGGTAGCAGATACTGGGCTGAAACTTAGCCAAGAGGTAGGAAGGTGTCCCTGTGCAGACCTTACAATTAATATCTAGAATATACAAAGAGCTACTAAGAAAGTTATACAACAAGACAAATAATCCAACCAATAAATGGGAAAATGAACTGAACAGTTCTCAAAAGAAGTACAAAAGGCCTGGCGCTGGTGGCTCACACCTGTAATCCTAGCTACTCAGGAGACTGAGATCTGAGGATTGCAGTTCAAAGCCAGCCTGGGCAGTAAAGTCTGTGAAACTCTTATCTCCAAAAAACTCCCAGAAAACCAGAAGTGGTGCTGTAGCTCAAATGATAAAGTGATAGCCTTGAGCTGAAGAGCTAACAGTGCCCTGGCCCAGAGTTCAAGCCCCACAACCAACAACAAAAAGTACAAATGGCCAATAAATACAGGAAAAAATGTTCAACATCTTTAGTCATCGGGGAAATTCAAATCAAAATTACAGTACGTTAAAGGCTGACGGTATGGCTCAAATAGTAAAGCAACTGGCTAGGAAATCCATGGCCTCTGAGTACAAAACCCAATACTACCAAAAAAAAAAAAAAGCAATGAAGCTGGGTGCCAGTGGGCTCATGCCTATAATCCTAGCTACTCAGGAAGCTGAGAACTGAGTGAATCCAGGCACTTTAAGTCCCTGTGAGATTTTTTGTTGTTGTTGGTTGTGGTGGTGGTCGTGGGGCTTAAACTCTGGGCCTGAGCGGTGTCCCTCAGCTCTTCAGCTTAAGGTGAGCACTTTACCACTTAAACCACAGCGCCACTTCTGGTTTTCTAGTGGTTTATTGGAGATAAGAGTCTCATGGACTTTCCTGCCCTCCCGGGCTGGCTTTGAACTGTGATCCTCAGATCTCAGCCTTGTGAGTAGCTAGGATTATAGGTGCCCAGCTTCTGTGAGATTCTTATTTTCAATTAACCATTCAAAAACTGGAAGTAGAGCTGTGGCTCAAGTGGTAAAGCACACAAAGAGGCTCAGAGACAGCGCCCAGGCCCTGAGTTCAAGCCCCACAACCACCACCAACAAT